TCCCTAGGAGCATATTATGTGATTGTATGGGTATGTATTATTTAATATTATTCATCGAGCTGAAGCACTCATTCCCTCTTCATCTAATATTTTTCAGGAATCCAGATTATTGCTTCTACATGTGCCAAAAGCCCTATCTTCTTTTCTCCACAAAGCTAGATAGTATAAAGATTAATTGAACAATAGGCCCTCAAATACATTTCTATTATTTTTAGTATATTTGTATATATCCGTAATTAGAATAGGAATATAGCATGTGATAAACTATTCGAATTGTGTGAACTCTGATGTAGTGATTTAGAAGTTGTGAATAAGATCTTGTGTTGAATATTGATCGGTAAGTTCCATAAATATTTTTATGAATGTTGATGAAATGATCATGGATCAGGCCCAAAATAGTATAAAATATTGAATGATGAAGTTGATTACGATTTGGGCTTCAATATAATATATAATTGATTATTCTTGAGATGGACTTGTCAGATATATATATATAACCTATGCCCTAGTGTCGGTCTAGCCACGATGACGGGTCATGACAAAATTAAATATGTCTTTTATCATTAAACTTAAAAATAGAAAATGTCTTCCCTCCTAATTGATGATTTGTGCATAAATTGACCTAAAATATTATTTTATAGAATAAATAAATATAAAGATGGACAAAAAATGTAAAATCAAAAAATATTTATAAGATATGAATTGCAATAAATAAAGTAATAGCTTCTATACTGCTTATCTAATTTTGTTCTTCTAAATTTATGTACTTAAATTTCTTACTTATCATTCATAATTTTTTTCAAATTTTTTTATATATGCATTTCAATGCTTCGATTAATTACTCCGAGAGGATATAAGTTCTAATTAATTTTTTCATCAGTATTTTATGTTTATACAGTAAAATACTTTCTCTATTTCAATCGGTGATGTCTAAATACTATACTAGCATTCCTTTTTATTTCAAGTTTATTTCATGAATAACTTACTCATTAGTTAGAATAAATATTTTCAATTTCACATGATACATTTGAATTGTACTATCTATACATTGTATGCACTTTAAATTTTTAGCAATTTATTCAATACACATTTTATATTTTAAAAATAAAGCTACTATATAGCTACGCAGAGCGCGAGAAACCACCTAGTTAAATAATAAAGAAACTGTTTATAATTTTGCCCTTCAGCAACGGCTATACTTGACATTTATAAATGAGTTTAAAACAGCAAACATTAATAATGGAACATGTCACATTATCGAGCTCCAATTATAAAATATTTTTGCTCCTACTTCGAAGATTTAAAATCTGCACCAAAAAATAATCAAGAATACACCTTATATTATCTACTGAAGAAGATGCTCACCGATTACTTGAAAAATACAATTTACAAAAGCACCAAGAGAAAGAGAGACTGCTATTAGTGTTTAACATTTTCAATAAATAATAAATTAACATGTGTTATTGGATTCTGCGTGCGCGTCAATTTAGTTTTGCTACTCGAAATCTCCATGCAAAATACGCGGAATGTTGATTTGAATAACCATTAGAAAAAGGGAAAAAGGAAAAAAAAAAAAAAAAAGAAAAATTCAAAGTCTCGACCCCAAAACCTACGATATATGCTAATAAAAAATGAACCATTCTTTACTTAATTACGGTAATATTTCCCTTTTTTGAAACAATTCAATTCTTCAAGCGCTGGCTATAAATATGTTTGGATTTGTCTCAGGTGTTTAATGCTTAAATTAAGAACCATAATCTCTCTCTCGAGTTGCAGTTATAGCCCAAGTCTCCTAGTTCTCTTGCCTTTGATTCAAAGACCAACTCTTCAACCTTCAACTGGTACAAATATTTCCATGTTCTTTTTAATCATTCTTTGCTTTTTCACATGCTTTTATGCACTCTGGTATTGTAAATTTTCCTTTCTTGAATGGTAATTAAATAGTTATCTGCTCTTTTTATAAAATTTTCTTGCTAATTTTAGTTACAGGCCGTGGCTATATTTAGGGACGGACCAGTTCAGGTCTAAGAGGGCATTGGAAAGAGCAAGGATAATAAAGAGTAAGCGTTTTGTTCGTTTACATCTCTAATTTTACAGTGATGCTAAAATGACAGGTCTTAATCGGGTGCAATAGGACATTGTGCACTTAAATTTTTTTAAAATACTTATAATTTTTCAAGGTCTAAAAAAAAATAATTTACTACTTTGATTATTTGATAAGAGGATAATATTGGATAATTTTTAATGATAAATCACTCTATTTAAAAAGTTATTGGTTCGCTCTGTGGGAGGTACGTGTAAATGGTCATCGTTTTATTTTGATATTTATGTTTTGTCTTTATTTGTAAGTGCATCAATGAACGTGACATTTTTCAAAATTTTAAAAGGTTTTCTTTGACTTGACTAGTATAGCATGTCGCATTGTTTTGGAATGCAGAAATTTTAGTTATTATAACAAATTTTGTCTAAATTTTCTGTTTTGTTTTTTGTTTTCTAATATCAAAGTAGGATGGTTTTTTTTTTCCCTTTTTTAGAAGATAAAACTTATAATAGTAAAAATTAGTTGATAGTTAAAAATGAAGTTATCAAAATTAAATGCGATTAAGTCTCCAGTCGAATTAAGCAATCTCTAGTAATGGGATCCGCACACCGATGGTTTACATAAAGAAAAATCTCTATTGAAGCTATTAATACTTCAACTTTAAATGATTTTATATAGACCAACACAAGCTTATAAGTGTTTATAAGTGTTGTATTATTAGAACTAATTTTGCAAAATGTTAATTGATTTTTTTTTTATTAATTGGGAGGCTGGATGGCCCAAATAATCCAACTCACTATAATAAGAACTTGAGATTTTCCAATCAGACTACATTTGATTGACAAATGTCAATTGATTTATGTTAATCTCAATATGTTATTTCGTTATTATTAAATGTGAGATTTTATTTCCCATCGTAACTGACACTTACTCGTACATCGTTTCTCTCAATTCCGGGTCATTTTCAGCCTCCATAAGTTCATTACTCAACATGGAGAAAGTCCTAGCTGAAAATGGAGTGCAAGAAATCAAGCTACTTGCTGCAATCAATGATGAACATGAAGGTGTTATTGTGGAATTGAGTGAGCCTATGAGCAAGGAAGTCCTTGCCTTAATGCTTAAAGCTTCAATTGCTCAATGGAGAAAGCAGGTTTCATTCCAATATACAAATATCATTTTAGATTGGTCTGCTGTTATTATCTATCTATAATGATTGGATTTGGAAAAACATATGCAGGGTAAGAGAGGCATCTGGATCAAAGTTCCCATTGAAATGGCCAATCTCATAGAAGTAGTTGTTAAGGTGATTTCCAGAATTAGCAATGTAAATCATTAATTAACTTCTGTAGATTGTTCAAGATTTGCCTTTTCTTTTCTGCTAATATTTGATTGTGTAATTTTATTCACAGGAAGGATTCTGGTATCATCATGCAGAGCCAAAATACTTGATGCTCGTGTCCTGGATCCAAGAAAGCACTCATACTATTCCGGCAAATGCCAGTCACCGTGTGGGTATAGGTGCATTTGTCATGAATCAAAACAGAGAGGTATAAATCATTCTAACTTTCTGCTTTGAAGTTGATTTCTTAGTAGCTCGAGTTCTTTCTGTAAATTATATACGCATTTAAAATTTCTATTTAAAGGTACTAGTGGTCCAAGAAAAGAACGGAATATTTCAAAAGATGGGTGTCTGGAAGTTTCCCACTGGAGTTGTTGATGAGGTACGTTATTCTTTTTATTTTGCATCTTGGAACATCAAACAATTTATAGGGTTACCTCATTTCCAGGGAGAAGACATCTGTGAAGCTGCAATAAGAGAAGTTAAGGAAGAGACGAATGTAAGTTACTGTATATAACTTGCAACTCAACTTAAGCTGGAAATTTAATTTTTTTTTCTTTTTTTGCCAACAGATTGATACCGAATTTGTAGAAATATTAGCATTCAGGTATGCTTTCTACTAGACTATTTTATAGTCATCTTCTTTTGTACTCAACTTAGTCCTTATTCTGATTTACCATTGCGAGTGGTGGATCCACAAAATCTAATTAGTGAGGACAAGGTATGAAAGTAATAATTCACGTGTGTAAAAAGTAAAAATGTAATGAGTAAATATAAATTAATATAATTATATACACTAAAATGTAAAAAACCATAAACTAAATTGTAAAGCACTAGTGGAGGCAAGTGCCCCCCATTGCTCCATTGCAGATCCGCTCCTAGCCATTGCCCTTACTTTTGCTAGTACGTGTCCATGCTAAATGGGGGTGATGATATGACCTTATCTTCATAGATTAAACTTGCCTAGACTCTATTTATGAACCCATCCATAGCTCAAATCAATGAAAGTAATAGAACTATAGGTCCATTATGTTCATATACCATAATTGTCAAAAACATTCTTCTAAAATGTCCATTCAAGTTCTTTGTCACATTGTCCGTACAAAAACTTTAGAATCTTCTTATTACCTATTAACTCCTAGAACAGACGCCTAGACTTGGTCAATAGCCTATCCGTGAACCAAATCAATAAACAAAAATGAGGGTATTTCCGCCGGAAAAAAAAAGGATAAAACATGAATAATTTTCAAAAACCTCTTATTTTCATTGATTTGATTCATACGGAGAGTCAATGGACCCTGTCTAGGCAAGTATTTTCTTTTACCTACCTAGATTTTTTAATATTACGGGAGAAATTCTTATTTCTGGAAATTACAGTTACCTAACCTTTCATATGAATTGTAGGCAAAGCCATAAAGCATTATTTGGAAAGTCAGATATTTCCTTTTTATGTCTACTGCAACCCGTCTCCTTCGACATTCAGAAGCAGGAATTAGAGATAGAGGCAGCCCAGGTACGTAAGCTTTCATCAAAAGCATATTTTCCAAAACAATTGTGTTTGATTGGACTTAAATTTCTAATACTACATTTTTACCATAAATTGTTACTTGCTTTTTGGTGCAGTGGATGCCATTGGATGAATATTTCTCACAACCATTTGTCCAGAAAAATGAACTTTGGAAGTGCAGCTTTGATATATGCTTGACAAAGATAGATAAGAGCTATTCTGGGTTTTCTCCAGTGTCTATTGCATCAAATCTTTCAAATGAAAAGAGTTACTTCTACTTCAACAATCGAGACCTGAAATGGCAGTAAGGTCTATTTGTCACTTTGTCAGCTCGATCGTGCAAATTTGCCATGGAAAAGATCGTAGTTTTGCAATTTTTGAGTTTTCGTAAAACAATGAATTAATGTTGGTATTTAGATTCATTCCTTAGAAAGAAAAATAAATATTGTTATTAGTGCATTATTTGATTCATTATTCTATTGTATAAGTTCGGTCAAATAAAAGTCTCTTTGCTGGTTCTAAGAGTGTTTTTTTTTTTTTTTTTTTTTTTTTTTTTTGCAATTTTTGAGTTTTTCGTTAAAAAACAATGGAATTAATGTGTGTATTAGATTCATTCCTTAGAAAGAAAAATAAATATGTTATTAGTGCTATTTGATTCATTATTCTATTGTATAAGTTCGGTCAAATAAAAGTCTCTTTGCTGGTTCTAAGAGTGTTTTTGTTTTTTTTTTTTTTTTTTTTTTTCCTGAAGGAATTTTTTTTTTTTTTTTTTTTTTTTTTTCCGAAGGAAGGAAATAACTATGAAAAATATCTAAAGAAAAGTATTTTTCCTTTATTTGAAAGAGAAAGAAAATATTGAAATAAGTAACCTTTCGCCTATTTTTCACCTAGTCCACATATTTTGAATTTCTCCAATCTAGAGAGAAAATAATGGAATAAAGTAGAAATTTCACTTACATTTATTAAATTATCCAAATAATCTAAATTAATTAATAAAATTTAACATTTTCTAAGTACTTCATTATTTAAGTAAGGGTATAATAGTCTTCCAAAAATAACATTTTTTTACTCTAAAATTTTATCATTTCCAAATAGAGAAAAATAATTTTTTTTTCCCTTCATTATTTCCAAACATAAGGGAATGCATGACCACAGTTCTATAATCGTCGGTTTCAATTTTAAAATGGCCCCTTTGATTACAAAGAATGGTGAAATTGGAACCAAACTGCTCTTAGACGGTTTTAAAGATGATTCCAAAACTATCCAGTTATTGTTTGATTCTAAGTTGAAACCTGAATTAGGAACTTTTTTTAATTTTCTTTGACTTTTTTTTTAGTTTTTTAACATGCATAAATAATAATAATAATAATTTAATAAAAAGACCGAAAAAATAAACAAAAAGTTTTAAAATATATATTGTAAAGTTTAATGAATTTAAATTAAAAACATTTGTATTGGTTCTTTTTTGGGAAAAGAGCAACGAATCCACTGACTGACAGCTTGGATTGTCAATTGCGGGCGTACTAGGTGTGTGAAGTACACCAACTGAAAATTAAAGTGCGCTTGATCTGACTTCTAGGCTATGGGGTTGGATCCACGGTATACGCTTTACCAGTTATGTGATTAAAATAAATTTGAGCAGAGGAAATTATAAAAAGAGTTTGATTGTTTGAAATGTAAATAGAATTTTGATTGCTTGTATTGAAATGAAAGCTTGAAATTACAAAGAATGTAAATAAACGGTGCTTAGGAAAAATAAAGACAATACTGAGAAAATTAAATTGCTTGACTCATTGGAGAGTTTGATTTGATTTATTGAAATCATCGGGGAATTTTTGGTTGTATTTTTGTTGTCCTTTGGCTCCTTTTATAAGCTTCACAAGTGGTTACCAAATAAATCCACTAACACACGTTTCCATTAGTTTATTTGGTAACTCACCTTCCTGTACGTGAAAACCGCTTAAGGAGGGCTCTTTTTGTTCAATTATAGCTCACGTTTCTTTCCCTTTTTTAAAAATAATTAATTAATAAAAAATAATTAATTAATTAATTATATTAAAACAATATTAATTGAATCTCAGTTAATTAAAAATCGAAGCCCAAACCCAAAATACAAAGCCTAATTTAAAAATTCACAAAATGGATTCAATAATTGCCCCCTCATATTAAGTTATGCCTGATAGTTCATACTTAATATGTTAGCCCATTTTGAAAATACTAACCCATTTTTAATTAAAAGTTCAAAAATTTAAAATACAATCCAACAAATAAACAAGATACCCCAACACTATATTCACTTTCTCTTTTGAGCTGTCATCCTTCATGGTTCTTTTCCTCCTGCAACAAATTTTTGATAATAAATCTTTAACATTGTTTGCTTGGCCAATTTTGGCCCCGCCGTCACACATGATTTCGTCTTTTTATATATATACACACTGCACGTTCGTCAATTTCTTTCTTTTCTTCTTTTTTTTTTAAAGGAAATTTTACGAACTATTTGGTGGCCATCTTTGGCCCACCATTACACCTACACACACATCACTTTTACTTCTTCTTTTTCTTTTTCGTTTGCTCTCTTTTTTCTTTTTTTTAAAAATAATATTTTTTTCTTTTTTTTAAAAATAATATAAAAATAATATATATATATATATATATAGAAATAATATATAAATTATTTTTTTATAAATATAATAAAAAGTGGGTCCTTTTAGATAGCAGTGAATCTGTGAAATGAGAATTAATGGTTTGTTTCCTGTGTTTTACCTTTGATATGTGCATAAATTGTCACTTTTATTCTTAATATTTTTGGTATTTTGAGTTGTTTTCAAACTTAAATCAGTTGGTTGAACAATTTTTATCAATTAGACATGATCTAAGTTATTTTTTTGAATAATATCATTTAATTGAGGAATTTTCAGCATTGTTAATATTCTGACCATTGTTTGCTTCTTCAGGCATAACTGAATGTATAGATGTTCAAATTGATTGATTTGTGAGTCGTTGGAAAGATAGAAAGGAGCTCTACAAATTTCTAAGAGGAGGCAAGATTCAATTCAGCCTAATCAGCCTTGAAATTCATCCAAAAGAGCTATGAATCTAAGAACAAATGTCATGATTGGAACATGCCTAATTAAGGCGGTTTTAGTTGTTTAAGACATCTATCTGGAGCTCCAAGAGTCAAATTAGCTTAGCCCAGCGGCCCATTTGATATCTAGAAGATGGACCTACAGATTGACGCTGTGAAGACATACCTAAAGAAGACAACTAAATGAAGAGAGGTCGTTTTCATTGTCAAAAACGCCATAAAAGATTACATTTTGAGTAGAAATATCTGCTTCAATCTAATTTGGTTTTTAGGTCATATCTTCTGCTGTGAGTGTCCATTTTGGGGAGGCCTTAGTTCGTTAGAAAGTTGAGAAGGAGATCTGCAAGTTTGTTGAAGAAGTTAGAATCAGATTTGAAAAGAAAGTTGTGCAAAATGGGAGAGAAATCAGAACAATAAAGATTTTTGTTGACTGTTTTTTTAAAAGTTCCCAAGTGATTAGAGATTCTTTGGGTCTTTTGAGAGGCTATAATATAGTTGCGATTCTGAAGCAGCAAGCACGTTTTTCTTCCCACATAGTTCACCATCTAATGTTAGAGTTTGTTTTCGTTTCTTTTGTTTGTAGTTGATTGAAAGGGCATGAATATGAGTGACTAATTTCTTAGTTCAGTTCAACGGCATTCCAGATTTCCAGTTATAATAATTGTGAGGACTTGTTCCTTTAGGTTCTAAATAATTGTTCTTTGAATATCTGTTGTTTTTATTAATTAAAGGCTGTTTAATTCTCTTGGTGTGATTTGCTTTTAAAAAGCCTATTAGTTAATTATTTGTAGGATATTTAAGTCTATTTCCAATCTTTCATAATCCGTAATGTTGCTGAAAGATGAACAGTGTTAGTAGCAATTAGGTTTTACTAATTATGTTCCGGATTTTTCGATAATTAATCTAAAGAAAACAAATTAGGGTTGAATTAAATAATTTAATGCTTTTATAAATTATTTGTTCAAATTTAACTGCTCATGTTCCTTACTGCTTTTATTAGATTGAAAAGATTGCTAATTACATGCTCCATTTAATAAAATTTAAGTTAATTAAGGGCTGCTGGCTCAAATTAACTGTAATTAGGAAGTTCAGGGAATTTATCATGCTTATTGGTAAGTTTCAGTTAAGTATTTTAAAGATAATTCATTCAAAGATTTGTCTCTCGCCCCTAGACCTTCGCGACGTCTACGACTCAGTCAACCAGTCTGAATCGCCGCAACCGCATTGATCGGCGCAGAATCTACTCCGTGGGATCAATGAATTTGCGATTCACATATTTATAACATTTGGATTATAAATGCTTGAATTGAAATGTTTGATTAGATTGAGTTTTCCAATTTAAGTTAATAGTCAGTTTTATTTTGATTTCTCTAAGTGAATTTTTAAAGCCAACCCCCCTTTTTTCTCTTTACAAAAATATCACAAAATTTAAGATTTTCAGTCTCTAGGGTTCGGACCATTTAAGATTTCAGTCTCTAGGGTTCGACCTGAATTTACCACTTATGCAATTAAAATTCAGTAATTAATTTTCGGTGGAATCGACAACCATCAACCTTCGATGAATTTTTTAAAAATTATAGCTATGGAACCAATAAAAAAAATTATTCCAGAGGCATCAAATTTTCGATACCAATTCCATTAGTAATTATTTTTCTTGATTTTGGCACCAGTGAAAATATTTTTCTACTCTAACAAAGGGAAAGAACTAGTTCCTCTGAGATGGAATATAAATTATGTACCTTTAATTTTTCAGTGACTGGTCCACTGTTCCATTTGCTAACTCCCAGGGCGGTGCCCTTGCTAATGCACCAGCTCCTCAAGTAAGTTCCTCTGTTAAACTTTGCATCCCTCTTTTCTGATAGGTTCTCTCAAGGGACATTTGCGATTGGTTCCTCATCCTCTCTATCAACGTTGTTTCTAGATATATTTTCCAAGTTGAGGCGACTTTACTGGCTCATACATCGGCAGTCTCTTCTTTTCACTGATTAAGATTCAGATGTTCCATCTATCTCTTATCCACAGGTATGTTTTCTATCGCATCTGCTTATCTTTGTTTGATCCACCTGCTTATACTTCACAAACAACTCCTCTTCCAATTTTATCCAATGTTATTATTGAGATTAATGATCCATTACCTGAATTTACTCCTGTTATTTTGAGTGATCTACCTTCTTCTTCTTGAGTGCAGGCTTAGATAGAAAGTTAAGAGACACACTCCTCTACTATTACATAGCACCAGTGGACTTGGCACCAGTCAAATATATGAACCTTGACTGACCTTTTTGTGCAGGCTTAGATAGAAAGTTAAGAGACACACTCCTCTACTATTACATAGCACCAGTGGACTTGGCACCAGTCAAATATATGAACCTTGACTGACCTTTTTTTTTTTTTTGAATTTGTATGAATATATTTAAAGCCG